TCCTCTATTAATGGATTTTTTAGATGATTTTCTACTGATTGAATATTTGAAGTATTTAAAATATTTCTATTAGACTTAATTTCATGATTGCAATCGATGTAAATATTCAACAAAGAGTAATTTGCATGACGCTTGTCATGTAATAACGTTCAATATCCAGCTCGTTAGAAAGGCACGCGAGATCGGCTGTCATTGTTCCACCGATTGCCACTTACTCGACAATTTGCTACGTAGCCGAACTTTCACTTTCGGCGATAGTATCGATTTAAGCGCCAATTCTTCCTCCGGCTTTTCGACGAAAATACATTTCCGTGCTGTTGATGTAACTAACTTCTTTTTGACGCAATCTTTGTAGCGAATTTTATTCAGCAACTCGTGATTGCTTGGTTTCTTCGTAATTACTACATAAATATTCAAATACGGTATTTAATGTAAAAAATAGAAATCTTATCTCTTAGAAATAAATTTTTTATATAATTACATCTATTCTATGTGCAATGAGTACCGGATGTTGCTTGGCGGCAAACAAATCATGGAGTTCTATCTTATCGCCAAGTCATCAACGATAAGAACAGTGTTATATGTAGAGCACTCGAATGCGACCACATTATCGGTTTTCTTGAGTTTTTATGCGTATCGGCGCATTAAATCGCTTTTCACCTAAGTGCATAATTAAGGTCATATTCCATAGCGACCATAGCACTGTCGCGCGCGCGCGTAACGTCGTGCATATATCCGAGATATATGGGCAGTTTTACCGCCACGCTGACCGCTCTCCTCTTAATCCAGGACACCGTATATATGGCAACTATAAATAAGATATTGCGAAACACAAGAGCCTTGCACAGGCGAAAAAACATTCCGAAATCGGGTGAAAGTGTCCGGTTAAGAAAGCCGCTCTACAGTGTTATTTCACCCTATGCAGATTTCTTATCAGGACACTCTTGTGCAGTCGAACAACTCTCTGTATATTATAATCCTGCAAGCTAAAAGCAAGTCTGCATTATACATATTTTCGTACGACATAACAGTGTACAAAAATAAAATTTGCACGAAAAGAACGATTTTGTTGGAAGGTCTAAAAATTTTGTTGAATACAGATCTGAAAATAATTCTTGTCGGACGTTTCGACCATCAAAATAATTTTGTTGGAAAGTTAAAAATGATAAGCATTGCTATAAAACGTTCTGATATTCTGGCAATCAGTTTGACTTTCCAACAAAATTATTTTGATTGTCCAACAAAATTTATTTTCAGATCCGTATCCAGCAAAATCGTTCTTTTCGTGTGACTGTTCTTTCTTCGTAAAATTTCGAGTTTTGACATGACGGAAAGTAGAGTTATCTTGTACGCGCAATCCGAAATGCGTGTCTGTAAATATTTAGATCTCTAATTTATCTCTATGTCTATTCGCTCCTTTTGTATGATTAATTTTAGTGCCTACTGCAATCTTTTCTGGAGACTGTAAGACTCTATTGCAACATATTATGCACGAGTGGTAAAATATGAGGTCAATTTATGACCGCGGACATGCCTATCTTATAACAATACACATTCGTGCCTCTCTTGCAGCAGCAGCAAGTATAATAGATATTTTACCGATCGCGCGATACTAAATAAGGTACCATGTTGCATTCATTATCAGCCGCATTCCGACACCGTCTCGTGAATTGACATCGCGGTGACCTCGCCGTCTAGAAATCGAAACGTGCCGCGTTTTAAAAAAGAAAAATAAATTCCGTACCGGCAATGTTTTATTTAACACGGCCGACGTGCCGGTATTCTACGGAATTGAGAGCGAAAGTTTCGCTGTTCTACAAAACTCTTCTTCGACCTTGCAATGCGCGATTAAAATCGCGCTTTTTTGCTTGCCGCCTCGATTTATCCTTTCATTCCAGCTAAAATAATTGCTGATGACGCGTAATTATCGACCAATTGAGATTTTTTAAAATAAAAATAATTACTTTTATAATGATATTTGTCAATAAACAGAAATATGATGTTCTCCTTTCTAAGACAACTTTTTCAGGGAGTTATTTATAACTATAAGTTTACACGGAGTGTAAAGACTTCTTCTTTCTCTCTCTTTTCTAGTTTAAAGGCTCACAAGATTGTTTTATGGATCCGCTCCCTTTTGTCTCCGCACCTATTTTCTAACATATGCGGCTTTCGAAAGGATCGTTAAAACACATTGCGGTGTGCCTTCAACTTCCTGCTCGTGATGTTATTTTGCAACGAAGGAAGTCTTATGAGAAAATCGTGCGCTACTAGCGATTGTAAAACGTATACATAAAAGAATAGCTAATGAGCACATCTCTCGAAGTGGCATCTCTGAAATCCTTAAAATGTACCTGTATAACGTTTTTATTGCATTTAATACTTATTTATTTATTTTTTGCTATAACGCCAAAAGATATTTAATAATTTAAAAGTTTACTAGAGCTCTCTCGTTCTCCAAATACGAGGTGTATTATAATAAGGAAGTTGCACAGTTGACTTATTTCATAGTAATGAGTCATCTCGTGTTTCGATCAAGATCGACTATCAAGATCGGGCTGTCGGCGACTGCGTTCTCTCGCGATCTGTAACCTTTGTCGATTCCTGAGAACGGCCTTGCCGATTGCCGAGGGCCTCGATACGACTACGATGACCTTCGATTGTCTAGATTAGCTTAATATATGGCTTGACGCAATGAATAAAGCCGTACGTGTGCTTCGTCCAGTTGTAACGAAGCTTCTTACTCCAGAGAATTAAATCTGTATTCCTATTTAAAAAAAAACAAAGAAATTATCTTAATTTTATCTTTTTATAGCATTTATATCAACAAGTCTAAATTCAGCATAACTTAGGATATAAGTTTGCAATAATAGTGCAAAAAGAACTATCGAAGAAACATAAAAAAATCGTAAAATTTTTAAAATTAAATATATGTTTTTGTTGCATATTGTTTAAAAAAAAAAATGTCTGATGGCAAATTAGGAAATTTTAGGTGAAGTCTGGGCAAAGCGGATGTATTAATGTTTGAGAAGAAAAATGACTTGTTAGTTAAAATTAAAATCAGAAACCCTTTCTGATAATTCTCTGAATATAACTTTCAAATAAAATAAGAATAAGATAAAATTAAAAAACTCAAACATTTAAATCTCTTTTTAATTAAAATGTAAGGAAAGAGAAATCATTCGCTTTGCCCGATCCTCTTGGGGGTCGAAAATACAGTCGATAATTTTAAATAATTAAAATTGTGTATATATATTATATATAATATACGAAATTGCAGGTCTGTCTAATGAAAACGAAGAGGTATATACTATAAAGAATATCAATTTAATATTTACAGTTGCTAAATAAAATATAATGACGTCGTATTTGTCATTTGATATCTAATATTCAGCTCATTAAAGAGATTATCGCGAGGAATATTGCCAAATCTATAAGGATTAAATTGCACAAGCATTCAGGAGAACTCGTGTTAGTAATCTCACCGTAAGCTTCGTAATAACGCTTTGCACATCACCATTCCGGTTTGAAGAATCTTAACGTGTCTCTCGTAATGTTTACGAGAAAGATTATGGGATGATGATGATACGCACAGCTGCTAGATTGCAGCAGACTTATTTGGTTAATGCTTGTTGCACTGGTATCACGAAAGCCATGTATCTTATTTATCAGTAGCATATCGAGTGTAATATGACAGGGTTGAGCGCCATTTCAAGTACTAATTAAATGTCGTTTAATCTTTTCAGGACGAAAGGGCTATAAATGCAAATTTAATGGCATTAAGTATCCAGAGAATTTTATCTCGCGTGTTAAATGTATTGTATTATTTTCCACTCTTATTGGCTCATGTTTCTGCGAATTAGGTCGAAATACATTGTTATATGCATTCGTGATTATCTCTCAAAACAGAAGAGACATTAATAATGATTTGCGAGGTCACTAGTCATCACAGCTAATGAAATAATTATCTTTTCTCTTATACATGCAGAATGGAATATTAAAAAATTTTATCGCTGTTTTCGTTTAGAATAGAATAATTAATTTATGTTTCTATATTAATTTTTAATTCTTTTATTTTGTTTTTTTTAAATATTGTGTGCAGATATTAATTTTTGTTTAAAAATTTACAAAAAATTTGCTTTACGAATAATTGGTCAAACATTTCTGTCGATCTGCTACGCGCCAATTAGCAATAGAATATTGATAGCTAAACTTGTTAACATCTTAATATATTTAATATCTTTTCTCTTAGAGAAGAGTTATACGCTTCCGAAGCGCGAAAGTTGTAATTAATTCCGACGATTAAATACCGAAGAATATCTCATTAAGAGAAAGAGAGGATTACGGCAAAAAAAGAACCGATAATTGCGCCTCGTTAACGTTTCATATGATTATCTGTGTAAGAAATTAGATTGCCTCCGTTATTGATATCATTATTATGAAATATTTGACAGTCCATAATACTGCGAATAAAGACGCGAGATATCATTGTCGTGCCGTAATGTTTTATCACCGCCAATAATATCAATCGTTATTTATCGCTGATTTATTTCCCGCAAATGCAGTGCAATAAAATTCTATGTGATGAAATAATTCTGATGAAAGTCAATTATAATAATTTATAAGCATACGTAGGTGCTAAAGAGATGTGTAGAAAATTAAGTAGGTTACTTCTTGATTAAAGTATAAGATTCGTAGAAGATAAACTGAGTTTAATATTTATAGAAGAGCGCTTTTGTAACACTTGTTGATGCAACCGCCGAAAGCGGTTGATGACGAAATGCGCCGGGCATAACACTATATCAGATTGTGATTCGTATATTACGGGGCGAATAATCGGGCTTTATGACGGATTAAAAATTTCGAAAATTCGAGAATTGTAGTAAGCGTTTTATTTATTTTCGTATATTTTATTTCTCCCCGCGCTGCATCCGTTACACAATCGCGTGAACCTGACAAATCCACGTGCAGGAATGTCAATAACAACTGTCTCCTTGTTACAGATATGGCACAAGCAGTGTTTCAAGTGTCAGGGCTGCGGTATGACCCTGAATATGCGGACGTACAAAGGTTTCAACAAACAGCCGTATTGCGAGGCGTAAGTAGAGACATTTTATATATATATGCTTTGATACTTGATTTCTCATTTACGTGACCGCGTGCACCTCTCTCGTGTCTCTGACGAAATTCGCGTTCCACTTTATTGCAGAAAGAAAGTTGACCCGTGAAAACTGCTGTCGGCGAGTCGCGCGCTGTTTGTCGCGTTCTCTTTTTTTTTCCCTGTCGCATAATAAGTTGCTTTACGCAACCAAGTTAATCGCGGTAACCTAACACTTGTTGGCGAGAGCCATTGTCCGGGGGAAAAAAAATTAATAAAGCATAAAAAGCGTGAACGAGATTGTTTTTTCGCGTTCGATACTTTGCGTTCCACGTTGCAGCAGATATTGACTATGTTTTTCATGCGTTTTACGTATAGGTATATTTTGTGGCTATTATCATTATGTCTAAACACGAACCGACTTTTCAATTTCTCCAATCCGACATATCATATTTCTATCCTTGTTCAGTTAATTTAAGAACGTACGAATTATCTCCGTAATCACCGACTACATACTTGAGAAGAGAAACATGCCACGATCTCTTCCCGCGTTTAAGCGCCATAAACGTCGCCTTCGTGCAGCTCGTACGGGAGTACAGGATCCAAACGCGTGAAATGTTTATTCAAGGATCCCTAAATGCGCAATTTGATTTCGCTGCGGGTATGCTTGGCTCTCGCTCCATGGGAAAGGAAACGCAACGTCGATATTAGCGTTGCTGATGGCGCGCGCGCGCCTCTCGGGGCCTCCTCGATCCCCGCCGCATGCACGCGTAGCAATAACGCGCGACGTTTAATATCCGGTGAACGACGGGGCTGCTGAAGAGCTCGCGCGAGAGGAAAATAGCCGTGCTCGTTCGCGCGCGATTGCGAATCTCCGATAGTTACTTTAAAACCGTATATGCCAGGCGTGTCGAGGCAGCGAAAGCGCGCCGCGGCGAGCGACCGAGCGTTTGCGCGGGGCCGCGGGATAATGCACGGCTGTCGCGCGTCGTACCTATTCTCTCTCTCACTCTCCGAGGAGGATCCTCCTTTCGGACGGCGAGGACTTTTAAACACGCGCGCGTGTCCTTTTGCACGTCGCCGGTAGCGTAACGCTTTGCATAAACCTCCGCCCCGCCTGTTCGTATACGAGTGCTCGTACGGAGAGATCTCCGCCGTGCAGAATAAATATCATTTTCTACGCCTAGAGTCACGAGCTCCGTTCCGTATAGTGACGTCTCGCGTGTCCGCTCGTCTCGCAAATTAAACGCGCTTTCATCCAAATGAAGAATTAAACTGGAAAGCGACGGTATATGTCATCGTCTACGTCTGAATGCATCACACGACATTTTCTTCGTTCAGTTGTTAATCGGCGTCTATAATCGAAGTAACGCTAAGAATTTCAAAGGAAGCATGCACACTTTTATACCACTTTTAACCGCGTGTCCATCTGTAAATATTAAAAATAACTTCAAACGCACTCTTGAGCAGGAAAACGCAGTTAAAATTGAGTATAATGAGCCGATTGAGAGATCATGCCCGATAACTGATCGACGAGAACCAGTTCTATCGCGAATATATTCCTGTTCCACTTGATTTTATAGTTTGACATAATGATATGTAACGTAAAAATACACACATGTATCTATATACATGTGCAACACAGAAGAATTATAATTTAGCTTTTAATTAGTACCATCGAGTGACGGACTAGTAGGTATTCCTCGTGGTTAGTTCGCTTCATCGTAATGGGGAAAAACAAGCCGCTGTTTATTTCGAGAAATACCACGAAGCATCGAGCTAATTATTAGAACGTTAATAGAAATGACTGAGGGATTTCGTCTTGCGACAACCCTTTACTTTATTCCACTTAAATCGACAATAATTATAACTTTCCTGTCGCAGTCAAAGTTACTCTCTAACGAAGCGAGAAAAAATCACGGTTTGAACGCGTGAAAGCTTTTCAAGATAAGACGACGAAAAAACGTGTAAAGCGAAAACCGTGGCAATAACGTTTATCTTAACCTTTAAACCATCGGTCTCACAGACCGCTATTGAAACGCTACTAGTCAACAATTTTCTTAAATGTCACCATTTAAATATATTTTATTTCTATTGTGAGATTTTTTTTGTTAATCCTTAACATTAAAACATAGCTTTCCTTTTCCCCATCAACAAGTATTCAGAAAACATACATTTTTATTATAATTAACTTATAAAATTAGCGAGAGCATAATAGCGGTCTGTCAGACCGACATTGTGATTAGTGTGATTTTTTTGGGCGTGGTGGTTTAAAGGTTAATTCGGATTTCGAGTATTAAATTGTAAGACATTTGTGATTTGAAAGTAATTGGGATCGTCGAGCGACACAACGAAGTTAACTTGGCGTTGCGGTTAATTTTGTGGCCTTGACGGATATTAATAATTGCACTTTTTTGGTGCAACGGGAGGCCCCGAGAGGAAGCGTGTGGAATTTCTAACGTTTTCCTGCGATATCCTCCTGACATTTTTTTATTAAGTTTTTTGCACCGTTGGTTTGGGAACGGCTATTTTATTCCACTTATCTGTTTGGTGAAAAATAAAATGTTTTTTTTTTTTTTTTAATAATTCAAGTTCGGATCATTACGATAAAAATTAAAATATTAGTAAAATTATAATATTGTTGTTGTTTGCTTATTCAAGATCGCTTATGTATTCTTCTAACAATACCTTTTAAGAAGCTACAAACCAAAAGTTATCGAAACTAAATTTACAGAAGTTCTAAATGAAGATTGTGACATATTTTTTAGATGCTTAATTTTCCCTTCATCGCGTGATGGAGATTAAATTTTGATGACCGCATTAGCGGATCATTCATATTTAATTCCTTATGTCTCAATCTTTGTGATTCGCTTGTGATTTGCTGTTGACGACAGTCGGACGCGCTGCGACTTCTCGCCGCGCGCCTTCGTCGTCTCCTTACATATCGGTATGCCATGTTGCACCGGGAGATACTCGTCCGTGACTCGTACAGTATTCCGGTTGTGCATCGCGATGACGACATCTCGCGAGTTGCGATTCGAATCTGCATTTCTCTCTTCTTACGTACTGGGACCTCTCTTCAGCGCTTATATGGCATATAATATGCTTCGTAATGACAAGTAATTCGCTCGAGACGCTTCAATCCTTTTCTCGCCGAGAAAGCGTCATCCGATACACTAAAAAAGGGGAACGCGAATGCGCAGTCCACAAATGGAGAAAAGCACTTGATCGATCATAAAGCTGTCGTAAATGTTGAAAGACCGCCGAACAGGATACGACTACTTACAATTTAAAATTATTTTCTAAATAATTGCGAAAGTTTTATTCAGAAATTTTGAACTAATTTCTGCAGCTAATTTTTTTAACATCACAAGTTCGTGTTTTATATTAATGACGTTTTAAACATTTATAAAATAAGTTTTAAGCTTTAAAATGAATACAAGGAAATGTTAAATTTCAAAATACTCACACTGTGATTTATCGCATAAATTGCACGTTGTAAATCATTAAACTTCAAGTCTGCGAGCGTTCGACCGATGAAAAAGATACGACTTTTCGATAATTTACTCGGGGCTATTACGTCTCATTTTAAGCGTCTCGCATAAACGGTCGTTGCATTTTATTGCTTAGAAAGTTGCTTACTTGACGTAAAGCCGCACTTATTATCTGTGCCCCGGGGCGCTTGCCTTCGTTGAAATTGATTAAAGAAAATGGGCGCAGAGTCCAACGACACCACGCCGAACACAATGTCTCATCGGAAGAATTTCGTATTCCGCGTACAGCAAGCGGGGTATGTGTCAGCGATGCGTGTCGAATCAGACGATGCACTGAATAACTAAAGACGAACGCGTGTGTGCTGCTATACGCGAGATTCATTCATTCGTCTGCTTTTGCCTCCCCTTTTATCTCTCCCTTACGCCGTAGCTTTATCTCTCCCATGGCACTCATTATCTTGCCCCTATGCGAACCGACCTCAATTCATTCCCAATTTATTTTTACTCCCACATTTTATGCAGTTATTTAATTCCTTTGAACTAGTTCAAACATGTAAAAATATATACCTAACGTCGATTGAGCGTCGTTTAATAAAGTGAAGTTCTATTTAACGTCGTGCGTTTACTTCAAACATATGCCACTTTAATAAAACACGCATAAAACATTTTTGTACGTTCACAAAATTTTATGAACTGACCGTCTGTTTTATGTAGCGCAATTACCGGATATAATCAACGTAACAGCTGTAATTACTACGGCAATTTAATTTAACAATGTTCTTTGAGCATTAAATGATAATTGTAGGCATTTTTACTACGTTCCCTCGTTAATTCTTATATATATATCCCATCTTTGTTTCGCCTCTGCTTGAAGCAATTTCGGAGTGCAGCCGAGCGTGATTTGAGATTAATTCGAAATTTTGTTTCTGGCCGTTCTTCTATTCCGAGAGGAGTAGTATTGCGAATTAAGTAAAGTGGTCTCTTCACGGATATAACGTTACGATTAAATAAACACGTGTTCCGGGCTCTCTTAGCACGTACATACACGCCTTGCCGACAGGCTATACATACACGTCGAATTAAGCGCTCCACCGGATAGCGAAAGAGAACACGTGTGAGATCTGCTTGCGTGCATCTTTTTTCAGCCCGCCTTCCTTTCCTTCACATTTGCGCTCCTCTCCTTCGTACTTTATGACTTCAGTTTTGCCGTGTCGTATGGGCGCGAATACGAAAGTATATACTCTCTTTAAATAGAATTTTTATATTAGAGGTTTATATTTTTATACCAGATGTATTAAAAATTGAACATATGCAGGAAAATAGCATCCGGTCAACTTGTTATTCAAATCATTAGCTCCAAATGTGCCAAAAAATTTATATTTGAGAGAAAAAGCGCGATCCTTTAGACATTCCGTTGCTAAACATTGTGTTCCCTCTTCGGTTTATAATTTTCTCATCTTTCTCAAGTCGCATGCTATTTTTACATGTAGTCACGCCTTTCTTCCA